TTTTATTATAAAATTTATATATCAGCAATAATATATAATACCAGTTCAAATATAAACTTCACTTCGAATATTATCAAAATACCTATCATTTCTGTTCAGATAGGTATTTTGATAATAGTCGAAGGAAGCTTCCATTTGAATTGGTGCCGTTATCTAATTTGACACGTGCGCATCTCTAAGTACATGAAAAGCTTGTGGCAAAGCTTTTTGGGAATGCAATTAGTTGGCAACGCGAACACGAATCAAAGCAGCAGCTGTTGATCACTGGCAAAACGAAAAGCAACAATCAGAGAGCATCAACAACTAATAATAATTAGAAAATTCCTAAATATATTAAGCAAATATGTGAGCATAAAGCTCGACCGAAATATTTAAAGCAGCAAGAGAAAAGGCGTAAAAACACTACCCAAACGACGGAGCACCTGTGATAAGATAAGAGCCATGCATACAAGCGAACCGATGGAAGTGGCCCAGCCAAAATAAAAAACCCAATTGTCAGTATCAATATTGAGCAACTAGTGGATTAACCTGCTGTACGAATACAATGAAATACAATTTATTGCTGTTGGCCCTGTGCCTGCTGCTGGCCGCGTTTGTCAGCGCCAATCCGAAGGACGAGAAGCTGGCCGCAATTAAACAAATCTGCCCGTGTCCTCGCAACTATGATCCAGTCTGTGCCAGCAACTTGATCTCCTATCCAAATCGCTGTCTATACGACTGTGCGCGTCGTGAACTCGAGCGGGCTGGACGCAGCTTGGATTTGCTCAGATCAGGAGACTGCTAAGCGGACTTTCAATCTGTTTCAAATCTGTTCATTCCAACACAAGTTTATAATCAAAATTCAAAATAAATGGAATAATATTTTATAAAGGCCGTGCTGAATCACCGTCAATGGGGAAACTATAAATGTATTTGTCTAAAATTATTGCTTATCAGCAGAGACCATTCGAAGCGACTATTGATAGTGACTAGCTTTATCTCTGCAATGTATAAACAGCTATTAATCAGAGGGCACAGCACTTCAGATACACAAGGCTCAATCGGAATAAAAGCTCATATGCAGCTAGAAATCTACTAGAAGAATATTCTGCACAATATATAATATATATTTATATATTTATTATTATGACCGGAGCAAATAAATCATCCTCT